ATGGATTTGTGAGGTGTAGATCATGCCTCACAAACCTTATTGAATTCTTTGAAGAGGTGACCAAACACGTGAATGAAGGTAGAGCAGTGGATGTAGTGTACATGGATTTAAGTAAGGCGTTTGACAAGGTTCCCCATGGTAGGCTCATGCAGAAGGTAAGGAGGCATGGGATAGGGGGAAATGTGGCAGATTGGATTCAGAATTGGCGGACCCTAAGAAGACAAAGGATGGTAGTGGACGGAAAATATTCAACATGGTGCTCAGTTATGAGTGGTATACCACAAGGATCTGTTCTGGGTCCTTTTCTATTTGTGATTTTTGTAAATGATTTGGATGAAGGAGTGGAAGGGTGGATTAGTAAGTTCGTGGATGATACGAAGGTGGGTCATATTGTGGACAGTGCGGAGGGTTGTTCTAGGTTACAAAGGGACATTGATAGGATGCAGAGCTGGGCTGAGAAGTGGCAGATGGAGTTTAACCCTGAAAAGTGTGACGTAATTCATTTTGGAAGGACAAACTTGAAAGCAGAATACAGGGTTAACAGAAAGATTCTTGGCAGTGTGGAGGAGCAGAGGGATCTTGGGGTTCATGTCCACAGTTCCCTAGAAGCTGCCACCCAGGTGGATAGAGTTGTTAAGAAGGCGTATGGTGTGTTAGCTTTCATCAATAGAGGGATTGAATTCAAGAGCCGTGAAGTTATGCTCCAGCCGTACAAAAGCCTGGTTCGGCCACATCTGGAGTATTGTGTCCAGTTCTGGTTGCCTCATTACAGGAAAGATGTGGAAGCATTGGAAAAGGTGCAGAGCAGATTTACCAGGATGTTGCTCGGAATGGAGGGAAGGTCTTACGAGGAAAGGTTGAGAGAGCTAGGGCTTTTCTCTTTAGAACGACGAAGGATGAGAGGTGACTTGATAGAGGTGTACAAAATGATCAGATGTATAGATAGAGTGGACAGCCAGAGATTTTTTCCTGGGGTGGAGGTAGCTATTATGAGGGGGCATAGTTTTAAAGTAAGTGGAGGTAGATATAGGGGAGACTTCAGAGGTATGCTCTTTACTCAGAGAGTGGTCAGGGCATGGAATGCATTGCCAGAGAGGGTGGTGGAGTCGGCCTCATTAGGGGCATTTAAGTGGCTATTAGATAGGCATTTGGATGATAGTATAAGGTAGGGGTGGAGATTAGATAGACTTTAGGATTAGGGTAAACGTTTGGCACAATATTGTGGGCCGAAGGGTCTGTACTGTGCTGTACTGTACTATGTTCTAACACAGCAGGCCAGGCAGTATCAGAGAAACAGGAAAGCTGACATTTTGGGTCAGAACACTTCTTCAGAAAATCTGTGTTCCTCCAGCTCCACACTTTGTTATCATGAATGGGAAAGGTTTGGAGGGATATGGGCCAATTGCAGGCAGGTGGAACTAGGTTTGAGAGCATGGTCGGTGTGGACTGGTTGCACTGAAGGGTCTGTTTCCATGCTGCATAACTCTATGACTCTATTTTGGATCACTACCACCCTCTGGTGCCTTTCACATTAAAAATATATTCCCTTGCTATTGACACATCAACAAAATAATTTTTAATTAGAAATGATTCTGTTTTGAAAATTGAGGCCACTTTCTGAGTCCGGATCTCTTGTTTGAGACATACAAGGGACCATTGAAAGGTAAGAGCCATTGAAACCATTCATGGATGTTCGGAGCAAACACATCCAAATTCCTGCTCATCTCCTGGATCACCCCATTGACTTCTAAACAGAGGTATGATGAGAAAGAATGAGAAGACTGACTTATTTTTGATTACGTATTCTTCTGTTTTGCAGTTGAAAGGAAAATCATTATGCTAAATGTTTGCGTGTATGATAATTGACAAAAAATTATTTTAACTTTACACATAATATTTCCTGGCATTTTGTCCACTATTCCCCATATCCTGTTCCTTGAAAATGTTTAAATATTTCTATTATTGTACCTTGTCCCTTCAAAATGTTGAAATATTTTCATTGGTCAATGAGCGACTTTGAAAGAGGAGATAGTTCAAGTAGAGTTAAGGTATATTCGCACAAATGGGAACAGGAGATCAAACAGATCTCAGGCTTCCTGGATGGAGCAGATTGAAATCAAAATAAATAAAAGTATGCTCATTACAGGTGTCAGGTAGAAAATACAATTGGGAACCAAGAGAAATGCAGATCATTCAGAAGAGGTAAACATGATGTCAGAGAAGCAAAGAGATTTTGACAAAAGACTGGCAAGCCAAGATAAAGTTGAAACCCAAAGTCTTTGATAGGCACATCTATAGCATAAGGATGGTGAAAGGATGAGTAGGGCTGATTAGGAACCAAAAAGCTCTGTCACTAAATTAGTTCAAAATTGATAAGAGGAAGTGTTAGGTTGGCTATTAAAGCTTAAAGTTAACAAGACATTGCACTGATGAAATGCATCCAAGGATCTAAAGAAAGTAAGTGTGAAATTTATGGCGGGATTGGCCATAATCTTACAGTCTTCCCTAGACTTAAGGGAAGTACTAGAGGACTGGAGAATTGCAACTTCACATCCTTGTTCATAAAAGATTGTAAGGATAAGCCCAGCAATTACCAACTAGTCAGCTTAATGTCAACTGTAGGAAAGCTTCAGGAAACATTTATTTAGGACAGAATTAATCAAAATATGGAGAAAAGTGGGTTGATTAGGGAAAAAAAAAAACAGATTTCTAAAGGAAAAATAATGTTTAATTAACCTGCTTGAATATTTGGAAGAGGTAATATAAAATGTTGAAGAGGACAATGTTGTTGATGTGGTTAACATAAACTTTCAAAAGGAATTTGATACAATGCTATGCAATAGACTGCATTTCAAAGACTCTCTGAAGACTTCTCTGAAGAAATTCAATACGAGATGTCAACACCTGGAAGACACTCATTCAGAGGAAACCAACTTGAAGGAAGCTGATAACACTGTGTGGAGCTGAGGAACACAGCAGACCAGGCAGCATCAGAGGAGTAGGAAAGTTGACGTTTCGGGTCGGGACCCATCTTCAGAAAAGCTTCTGTGTGAAGGGACACATTTCTATGAGAACAGGAGGAATTACAGAAAAGGAATTGAGTTACATCTCATGGAAGAAAAGGACCAGTAGCCATGTGGATACAACATTGTCTGAGTGATAGGAAATAGAGTAGTGGTCACTGGGTGGTTTTTGGACTATGGAAAAGTTAATATTGAAGTTCCCCAAGGATCAGCATTGGTATCCTTGATTTTCCTAACATATATTAATGAACTAGATCTTAGTTTATGAGACAGTATCGAAATTGGAGATGATTGAAAATTTGGAAACATTGTAACCTGTGAGGAGGATGTTGTAGAATCTCAAAAAATATTGACAAATTAATGGGGTGAGTGGCATGGCAGATGAAATTCAGTGCCTGATGTATTTTGGTAGGCAGAGCATGGATAGGCAATATAAAATAGGAAATACTTAAGGAGATGCAGAAACAGAGGGACCTAGGTGTTTATGTGCATAGATCATTGGAGGTGGTAGAGAACAGTTAATGAAATATACAGTATCCTGGACATAACTAATAGCGGCATGGAGTACAATAGCAAGAAGCTAATGCTGAACTCATATAAAACACTGGTTAAAACTAAACTGGAGTATTCTGTACAGTTCTGGGCGCCACACTATAGAATAGATATGAATGCTTTTGGAAGAATGCGGAAGAGATTTATTAAAATAGCTCTAGTAATGAGAAATATCGGCTGTCAGGATAGACTGGAGAGTTTGAAACTATTCTCCTTGAAGACAAGAAGGAGATCTAATGGAAGTTTTCAAAATCATGAGAGGTCTGGATTGAATAGATAGGGATAAACTTTCCCACTTGTAAAATACTCAAGAGTGAGAGTGCACTGATTTAAAGTGATTTACAAAAGTAGCAAATATGATGAGATTTTAAAAAAGCTTTTTCACTTGACTAGAACGCACTGCCTGGAAGTATGGTGGAGGTGAAAAGGAGAGTGGCACAAATTTATAATGTTCATTGGATAGCTAGTGCAGATATGATAGACTGAAAGGCCTCCTTTTGTGCTGTAATAGGCGGCACGGTGGCTCAGCGGTTAGCACTGCTACCTCACAGCGCCAGGGGCCTGGGTTCAATTCCACCCTCAAGCAACTGTCTGTGTGGAATTTGCACGTTCTCCCTGTGTTTGCGTAGGTTTCCTCCGAGTGCTCCAGTTTCCTCCCACAGTCCAAAGACATGCAGGCTGGGTGCATTGGCTATGCTAAATTGCCCATAGTGTTCAGGGTTGTGTAGATTAGGTGGGTTATAGGAGGTTAGGTCTGGGTGGGATGCTCTGAGGGTAGATGTGGACTTGTTGGGCAGAGGGGCCTGTTTCCACACTGTGGGGATTCTTTGAAGATCTATGAACACTTCTGTGATAGCTCTTCTTAATATTATAATAGGAATGAATATGCCATGAGTGATAATTAATCATTCAGGTTAGTTAGATCTTTTTTGTTCATGTAATGTCCCAGAATGTCAGCTTAGATCATTTGACATTAGTTATTCAGATGTTTGTACAAACCAAATCAAGCATGTTACTGAAACTTTATGCTAATATGATATCTTGTGAAATGCTAATTAAGTTATTAAACAAATGCCGTGATTGGCAGAAGATCATTAAAAAGCTCTGGCAGGATTGAGAGAAGAGCAGGAATTTCTCCTAGTCTTATTGACAATATATCTACGACCACTAAAATAATCAGAAAAACTGAATAGTTTATCTTCTGGGCTGTGGGATCTTGGATTGTGCAAACTAGCTGCTACAATTAGTTACATTAAAACAGTAACTTTATCTCAAAACAATTCTTTCCATGTGAATTTTTGTGGAATATTTCTGGAATATGATCATATGATATATAAATGATGGTATTCCTTTTCTAATAAAATGTTGATTTTATTTGAAAATTGGGTAAAAGGAGCATATAAAATATTTATTTGTATTTTGCAGCAAATGGGAGTGGAGTGCACATTAGTAATGTGCGCTATGAAGATACTGGTGCTTACACTTGCAATGCCAAGAATGATGCAGGAGTGGATGAAGATATTGCATCACTTTTCGTGGACGATTCAGCCAGAAAGACACGTATGTAAAACCTATTGGAAACATTTTATTATTGTCCTTATCAGCATGGATTTTGAGTGCTTCAAAGAATGTGAAAGGATGCTGGTTTCATAAAAAGTGAAAATACTCTGAATACCACCATCAGAGGCAATTGAGCACCTAATTGGAACTTCATGCCAGTCTTCTATTGTGTGAAGTACTATGAAACACCAATGAATAAGTCATTAAAGCAAAGCCTTGTCTATCAGAAAGTCATTAAAAATCTGACAACAGGATTGAAGCATAGACAGTTCTCTTAGTCAGGTAAGAAACAGTTACACAAAAAAAGGAACAAATGAATTTATTATCTTATTGACTATGGGGATCTTGGATTGTGAAAACTAGCTGCTGCAATTATTTGCATTAAAAAATCACAATAAATTACATAAAAATAACCCTATCTCAAAACAATTCATTTTATGGGAATCTTCATGCAGTTCTTTCTGGGATGATATAACTATATATGAAGTTCAACTAAAGTAAATTGAATCCTTGGAAAATTTTTATTTGTTCACACAAAGGGCAGAATTTATTTTTTATTCACTCACAGGATTTGGGTGTCCCTGGCTTGCCAGCATGTCATAACTGCCCTTGAGAAGGTGGTGGTGAGCTGTCCTCTTGAATTGCTGCTGTCCATGTGCTGTAAATAAATCCACAGTGCTGTTAGGGGGAGAATTCCAGGAATTTGACCTAGTGACAGTGAAGGAACAGTGAAATAATTCCAAGTCAGGAATGGTGAGTAGCTTGGAGAGGAATTTGTAGATGGTGGTGTTTCCATGTGTCTGCTGTCCTTCTCAACGAAAGTGGTTGAGAACTTGGAAGGAACATCCAAGGGGATGTTTGTGGATGCAGTGCTAATCGAACAAACTGCTTTATCCTGGTTAGTATCAAGCTCCTTGAGTGTTGTTGAAGGTCCTCTCACCCATGCAAGTGTAGAATATTTAATCACACCCCCTGATTTGTGCCTTATAATTGATGGACAAGCTTTGGGGAGCCAAGAGGAAAGTTACTATTGCAATATTCCTGGCCTCTGCATTCAAATGAGTTCAGGTTGTCCACATGAGAGTCATATCTCTTCCAATTTCTTCTTCTGATTACTGTCATCTGACGAGCAGATTGGTGAGAATAAGGTCAAGTAAGTTTTTCTCTGTTGTTGGTTCCCTCAACCCTTTTTCAGACCCAGTCAACATGTATATCTTTTAGGACTTGATCAGCATAGTAGATAGTGGTGCTGATGGAAGAGGTAGACATTGAAGTCCCCCATCAAGAATACATTCTGCACTTCTGCCACCCTCAGTGCTGCCTACAAGTGGTATTCGACAAGAAGGAGGGGGTTGGTAAAGCGGCAAAGTATGTAGTTATCAACAAGAAGTTTTCATCGCCTATGTTGACATGATACAATGAGACATCATGGAGTCAGGGTCATTGCTGAGGGCTCTCAGGGCAATTCCCTCTCAGCTGTAATCCATGGACCTTTGTGGGTCTTCCCTTCCATTGGAACAGACCATCCCCATGGATGGTGGTAGTGCTTTCATATTGAGAGACATGATGCCATGGGTATATTTGTCAGGCTGTGGTTGACTGTTGCTCTCCCAATTTTGGCACTAGCCCACAAATGTTGCTTGGTAGGACTTTGCATGGTCAATAGGACTAAGTTAGCCATTGTCATTTCACAATCTGAACAAGTTACTGCAGAGTAGGTGCTGCTTGATGGCACTGCTGTTGACATTTTCTGTCACTTTATTGATGATTAAGAGTAGACCAATGAGGCTGGGTTGGATTTGTCCTACTTTTTGTGTAGAGAACATCCCTGAGCAATTTTCCACTTTGTCAGGTAGATGCCAGTGTTGTAACCGTACTGGAAGAGCTTGCCAAGAAGAGCAGTGCATTCTGGAGCACATGTCTTCAGTACTATTGTCGGAATGTTGTCATGGCCCGTAGCCTTTTTATTGTCCATTGCCTCCAACCATTTCTGTATATTATGTAGAGTGAATTGAAATGGCTGAAGACTTGTATGTGTAACCCTGGGAACCACTGGAGGAGGCTGAGATGGATCATCCACTTAGCACTTCTGGCTGAAGATTTCTGCGAATGCTTCAGCCTTATCTGTTGTACTGATGTGTCGGGCTCTTTCTATGATCTTTCTATGATCTTTCATCATCAAGGTTGGCGATTTTCTGGAGCCTCCTCCTCCATTGAGTTAATTGTCCACCATCATTCACAACTGGATGTGATGGACTGCAGAGCTTAAATCTGATCCATTTGCTGAGGGATCACTTAGATCTTCCTCTCACTTACTGTTTATGCTATTTGGCAGGCAAGTGTTGCTTGGTATCTTTACCAGGTTGACATCTCACTTTTAGGAATGCCTGGTGCTGCTCCTTGCATGATCTCCTGCACTCTCCATTGAACCGGGGTTGATCCCCTGTCTTGATGATGGTGGTTAAGTGGAGGATATGCCAAGCCATGAGGTTGCAGATTGTGCTGGAGTAAACTGTGCTGCTGTTGATGGCCCACAATGCCCAGTGGATGCCCAAATTTTGGTTGATAAGTCTGTTAAAAGTTTGTCTCATTTAGCACACTGATAGTGCCACACAACACAGTTTGAAGGCAGGCCTTTGTCTCCACAGTGATTGTGCTGTGGCCATTTTTCCCAATACTACCATAGAAAGATGCATCTGCAGCAGGCAGATTGGTAAGGATGAGGTGATGTATGTTCTTCCCTCTCGTTGGTACCCTCATGACTTGCTACAGAACTATTCTAGCAGTTATGTCCTTTAGGACCCAACCAGCTTGATCAGTCGTGCTGCCAAGCCATTCTTGATGGTGAATACTGAAATCCCTACTCAGAATACAGTCTGCACCTTGCTCAGTGCTTCCTTCAAGTGGAGGAGCGCAGCATCATTATCTGAGGGAGGCCAGTACATGATAATCAGAATGAGTTTCCTTCCCCATGTTTGACCTGAAGCCATGAGACTTCATGGGGTCTGGAGTCACTGTTGAGGAGTCCAAGGGCAATTCTCTCTCAACTGTGTACTGCCATCACCTCTGCCGGCTTTGTCCTGCCAGGACATTTCCAGGGATGATGATGTTGGTGTCTGGGACATTGTCTATAAGGTATGATTCAATGAGTATGTCTGTGTCAGTTTATTGCTTGACTGATCTATGAGATAGCTATGCCAGGGAGGACTTGGCAGAATCGACAGAGGTGTTTCTGGTGCTGTCTTTTCCGGTGCCTAGGTCGACGCCAGCTTGTCTATCTAGTTACATTTCTTTGTTAAGACTTTATAATTATCGATACAATTGGTGAGCTCGCTAGGGCATTTCAGAGTACAGTTCAGAATCAATCACATTGCTATAGGATTCATGTTGGCCCGACCAGGTGAGGATAGCAGATTTCCTTCTCTGAAGGACATTAGTAAGCTTTTCTAGCAATCGGCAATGATTTCACATTCATGAGTAGGTTCTTATTTCCAGATATTCTTGATTGAATTTAAACTCCACCATCTGCCATGGCGGGATTACGAGCCCTCGTCTCCAGAATATTAGCTGAATTTCTGGATTAATAGTGTAGCAATGATATCATTTGGCCATTGCCTCCCCTAGAATTATTAGACCTATAACGTGACTGCTACAGAAAGATGACTTGTTATGACATAAGAGAATGATATTTTGGGGAATTGTAATAGCAAGTAAGTAGCAAAGGGTGGCTGTGAGTAGATATCTCTTGACATTAGCAAGGTACCACCATAAGGATATATTATTGTGTATTGCTATTTGAAATATTTATATATAGAGAGAGAGAGAGAGAGAGAGAGAGCTAAGGATAGAAGCAAAGCAATTTGTAGTTGACACTAAATTGGAGGAGGATACTGATGAGCATAGAGAGATCCAAATAGTGTGGAAGAGTGATTGTTGAAAATTACATTTAATGTTGGCAAATGCAAGATTGTGAGATCTGGGTTGAGAAATAGAAAGTGCGGATAGAAATGGGGCCATATGAGAAATGGAAAGTGTGGATAGAAATGGGGCCATATCACATTTATTTTCTTCATTGTCTTGTTCGCCCTTTTGAAATTTTGAATTGAAAATATAAATTTGGGGTGGGGTTTAAAGCATTATATGCATTTTCCATGCTATTAAGTGAATCTAGTATAGTACCTCTGCTTGCTGTCACAGGTTATTCACACAACAAGCAGTAATATAATCTGATTGTTGCTGTTTTGACAAATTTATGCATATCGTGAGCAAGTAGCCATCTCTTGCTTGGAGCTTGAAATATAACTAAAAGCATTCAGAGTGCGATTTATTGCTTGTATTTCTTCTGACTGCTTCAAGTACCTGTAATAGAATCAGTATGTCTTATCTCATATTTTATGTACCTGTTTACCTGATTTATCACATAGAATAGAATCCCTACAGTGTGGAAACAGGCCCTTCGGCCCAACAAGCCCACACCGCCCCTCAGAGTATCCCACCCAGACCCATCCCCCTAATCTAGGCATCCCTCAGCACTATGGGCAATTTAGCATGGCCAATTCACCTAGCCTGCACATCTTTGGACTGTGGGAGGAAACCAGAGCACCTGGAGGAAACCCACGCAAACACAAGGATATTGTGTAAACTCCACACAGACAGTCGCCTGAGCGTGGAATTGAACCCAGGTTCCTGGTGCCATGAGGCAGCAGTGCTAACCATTGAGCCACTGTGCCACCCCAATTTATTTATTTATTGGTAATTTATTTTGCTGCTTTTTGGGAAATGCAGAAAAAACTACCAAAGTGTTCTCATCCTCTTCACACATGGACAAACATTTACTCCTTCTCTCTTCACAGAAGCTGCCAGACCTGTTGAGTTTCTCAATCAATTTCAGTTCTTGTTTGTTTAAGATTTCCAGCATCCAGAGTTCTTTTCTATATTTTTGGATTTAATCCATTTTTGTTTCCATTCTGTCAATTTAATTTCTGTATGGCAAAACAGAT